CCCAACCCCAAACAAACAAAAATAACGCATGTCACTTTCTATACTTCAAACAGCCCCTTAAGCCTAGTGTGGCAGTGATTTGGGATGTCTTTAGATGACAGCTCCTTTACACCATTCTACGTGCCCCTGAGTAGTCCATTTAGGTGTTTTAACAGGCTACACTGCTGTTTCTGACCAAAGGATGCTATCACTAGCTATCACTTTACAGTTAATATAAAATTCCATATATTTGACCATAAAGAATCTTATTATTTGCATACAATCACTGCAGGAACAAAAATTAAGTTTTAGGTTACCACTGGGCTAGAGCTACATGAAAAGAAAGGTCAGCAAAGGTGCCATGGCACAGTATACAGTAAGAAGTGGAAACCTGCCCGACTAATGCAGAACAATGACTGCCAGTTACACTCTGTGAATAAACATATCCTTAACAAAGGATGGAAAGAAAGCTTTAAAAAACACAGCCAAAGAAAAAGCGATCCCTTTTTAACCAAGAAACTTCAGTCACAAAGAAGCCATCCTTAAGAAAGACTAAACTGAAAGGCAAGGAAATGCACTGACAATAAGCTTAGTTTCTGGCTCTTTGAAATGACTTTTCAACATTAAAATTGAAATGTTGAGAGAGCAATTACAGTACTGTCTTCAAATCTCACAGGATAGCTTTAAAATCAGCTACGGTAAACTGAACAATCCTATCTGAGTAACTTCTCCTTTGACTTAGGAAAACAAAAACAAACAAAACAAGGAAAGGCATTAATGACCCCCTCTTGCAAAATTTTACTATATGGCCTTTTCCATTTTGCACGTATGGTTGTAGAGTTAGTTTCCGTACACAAGTCCCCATCCACACACATCCCTTTTACACACTTTGAAAATCCGAAGCAACCACCAGAACTTAAGGACACATTTGCTTTTGCTGCCAAGTTTCAAAAATCGGTTTTCTGGATTAAATTGGAATTTGCCAGAATTCGCACTGTTTCTGATAACATTTTGCCTAGCTCTGCACAGCTGGGACTATCCAGATGCAACTGGTTTAATTAGAAGGTGAAAGCAGAGGAATGCATCTGTCTGGCAGTGGTGGTTTAGCTGACTGCAAGCTGCAGGACCCCACAGATCTGCAGTTGGTCAAGAGCTTGCAAATTCTTATAGGCATCTGCGTGGCAAAACAGACCCTGACACCAGAAAGACAAAGGAGTATCTCTGCCTTTGGTCACAATTGCCAAAACATCTAACCACCGTGCTAAAACAAAGGAAAAAAATAAAGAGAGGCAGTAATGATCTAGACACAAAGCTCGGGGCGGGGAGGGGTGTCGAGAAAAGGAAATCCAAACCAGCTGATTTTAAAAGCAGGACGACAACCCTGTGAACAGACATGTAGTGCACTGGGTCTACATAAAATGCATGCAGGGGTTTGAACACGTCTTCTACCAAAGCTGTTACGGTCAGCACTGGAACTGAAGTTTTGATAAGGAAGAAACTGCATAAACAACTTAAAATAAGCAGATCCTTGGTAAGTAACAAATCCTGGAGGATGCCCTGTGATCTAGCTCCACAGCAGTAGCTCTGAAGTGAGCTGTAAAGAAACGGGCCACTATGGACCATTTTGCTTAAGAAGGGTACAATAGTACTTCGTACAGTATTTTCTATACTGAGCTACAATATCAGTTTTAAAAAGGTAACATCTGATGACTTCAAGACATGAGGCAGGACTGACTAGAGCCCTTAGAAAACTGTCTTTTTTTTTTTTTAATAATTAAGACTAATGTGTCCAATTTCTTGTTTTGGCAACTAGTTTTTCATAGATCCAAGTGACTAAATCACCTTCTCACAGTCCCACATATTGTTACAGACCATAGACAGAAATGTATAAAATGGCCCTCGAAAAGACATGACTGTGGCCAGCACCCTTGAGGAGGCGACTGTTGTATGGGCCCTTGGCAATCAAGGACTATCAACTCTGTCTTCAAGGACAATCACCTGAGGCTGTTCCCTGGAGGAACGCAGAGATTAGCATACTCCAGTCAAAAAGGACTCCACAAAGAAGAGAGATAGGCTAAAGATAAGACTTACTATGGGAAGTTTGTGAAAAGACACCTCTGCACCAGCCACAAGGGATCACCAGAAGACCACCAAAGACCTCCAGGGAAGCTTTTCAGAGATTCAGGCCACATGTGTAATAACTATGTATATATGATAATTAGTTCCTGGAAACAGAATGAGTATTTATAATTTTTCCGGGAAAACTAATGCCTATGTATGTAACAAGTGGATATAAGCTTGGACCTGTAACAGACATGGCATGCATGGTAGGTGGAATTATCCCCCCATGCATCCGGCTGCAATAAAGAAATGTCTGCTTCTAATACTAAAATTGAGTGTCAGAGTGTTCTTAACTGACCAGATTTCGGTAACAATATGATTGAGCTTCCTTCATAGCTGCATTTTTATAAACATTTAACAGACTGAGCTTCTTTAGCACTCCACTGTATAAGAAATTCATAGTGAAAAAAACTGCTTAAAACTGAGAAATCCTGGGAATGGTTTCATGAGCAAAAAATTCAACGAACAAGAAGTGCAGAAATACATGGCTGGGCGTCAGATGTGCAAAAACTATTTGCCCTGACACACTCTGAACGGCTCTTGTAACAAAGATTTCAACACACATTTTCACTCTTCTGAAGAACATCTCTTGTCAGTTCAACTACCAAAACAGAGTGGGTTGTTGTTTTTTTTCAAAAAGCCTGAATAACAGATATTCCACAAAATCAAACCTCAGGAGCTGCTTTTTAAAGCTGAAGTTGGAATCAGTCTAGAAATTTTTAAGTGATGTTTTATTGTAACATCAGGATGTCCAAAGAATCATCTTTTGCCCAAAACCTAGTAAGAAAAAGCATCCCAGCAGTGATGCTCTATGGACTACATTCAGAAACTTCAAGCAGCTGCCTAACCTTCTTAAGCAATTTTAAACCCGTTTCCAGAAAAAAAACAACTTAAGGCTGAATGAAAACTACTTTCTCAGACCTTGCTTCATCTTGTTAATGCTACGGAGAGGATGAACAGTTTTTTAGTGCATCATCTGCTACCTTAAAGTAAATTCTTTTTCAGGCTGTGCTCAGCCACTCGAATACCTACTCTGCATGTTTAATTAAACCATATGTTTGTCAGTTGATATGGAAATGAAATGTCTAAATTTCAACTTCTGTCTTGGCAAATGAAGAGAAGTAGAAGCTTCAGCAAGGAAGTTTACTTATTTTACCATATCCACCTATGTAAAATAATTGAAGAACCAAGACTGGTAAATACAAAAAGGCTTAAACAATATAATTTCAATTTATTTGCCAACATTAGATGCTACAGATACTCCTCCGACTTGCAACTGGAATTTTCTTCGAAAAATATTTAAAATTTAAATATAAGCTACCCAGACACAGGCTAACCCTGCTAAATTCAATCACTAATATTGTAACTGCTAGCTAAGCCTAAGGTTAAACAGGCTAAACACTTCGTATCCAATCTCTCGTAAGTGAAGTAAAATTATTATTCACACGCAACTAAAGTTAGTAGCTTCCTTACAGTTTTCTTCTTCTTTTAGGCTGATGCACAGTGACTATAATGAGACTTAAAGAGTAACTTATGTCCACTGAGAGGTGCTGCATTGTTTTTTCCCTTTCATCTCTTTTTTCCTTTTTTTTTGAAACCCTTATGTTTTGGCGATGAGAAGTTGATCTGATATATCGTCATTTCCCAAATCAAATTTATGATCAGGTTCATTTTAATAAAAAATAAATATATGGTATTATAGAAAAAATGTTATTTTCATTTCAAACTTGTAAAGAGAGGAAATAATTTTCTCTGAAAAGCTGAAGAGACTCTTACCACCCCTGCAGATGACGCACAGAAATGGCAGTTCATACATAATCTATAATTATACCATTTTCATTTTTTTATGATGGCCACTACTTGTTTATAACTGCAACTGCAGAGAGCAACAAAGAAAACAGAATTTGTAAATTGTTCTCTTGAGATCACTGAGAAAACCATCATCCGATACAAACTGTGCTCAGAATATGGCATATTCAGCACTAGAAGTATCCATTTTGTGCAGACAGACAGAAAGAGCCAGGGAGGAGATACATTTTGCAATTCTCAAACAAAAAACATTCAAACACTACGCGACTTGAAATACTGTACTTCACACACTTATGTAAAAATAAATTTCAGACGACATGCAAGAAATCTGTCATTTATTAAACATTTTCCATCATGATCAGATGTGCTACACGCACTTAAATACCTTACTAGAAGTACCATCTGGCCAACTCCATAGGGACATCATTGGGATATCTACAGTAATACCTGGGTTTACAGGCAATCTTTTCAAGAATATGCAGGATTTTCTTTAGGTTTTTACAGTCATGGAAAATGCTTAGTCATGAAAAATTTTTGACATCAAACTTGGAACTTCATTTAATTCCTATACTACATATTAGTATTCTATGTTCTAAAATACAGCTCTCTCTTTAGAACTGTGGCAGCTGCTACTAAAAAAACCTCTTGTTCCCCCTTTCCCCAAACCAGCTGCCCTTCAGGAGGAGGATGGTACCACAATACTCAACATAGGCTATAATCTCCCTATTAATTAACATGCTACGAACTCCAACATAGTATCATGCAACTTCATTTAACTAATCTAGTAGTTCTGATGGTTTTTATTGCTATTTCTGCAGCCACTAAGGCTACTAATATTTAAACTTCTTTAAGGTCCTTGAGAAGTTGACATACTTGATACTTCAATTAGACACATTAATCACTTAATATTCAACTAAATAAATCACTTAGCTTGTTGTTTAAGAGTTATTGAATATTTCAAATTTCTGAAAAATTCCATATATGAGTGCCTCTTAGTATTTGAATAGTGCTAGAAGTTTCTGAAAAAAAATAAGGATACTGCAACTTTAAAAATAATATAGAGATTTGAATTTGTGACACACCTTTGGAGCCCATTATCTGAGCAATCTCACACTGAAATATTAATCCAAATCAAATAATAACTTACACCGTATATAGGATAAAGAGAATATTACACAGGGGGAGGCTCATATTCAGCTGCTATCTTGTCGCTGTATCTTTTTGTCTACACAAAGTTAGCAGGTTTCTTCCTTGTAAATGATCTGGCAGATATGCTGAAGGCAGTCGACGTTTTGCCACAAAACTTTTAAAATGAGCTGTGTTAGCTTCCTCACATAAATACATCCATTTATATCACAAAATGCCTATCTGCAATGAAATCATCCAGCAGGTCTGATACACAGGAGGGCGAGCAGGTGTTGTTGTAAACAATCAGTAACATCTCCCCGTGTGTAATAGTCTCAGAAGAATAAGAATGGAAATCCAGCCCTGGGGTTTCTTACCTTAAATCTAAGCAACCACTTAATGCATAAATGGAGCAAATAAAAGAGGTAAGGAAAAAAAGCATTGAAAGGTTAGTTGGAACTTCAGGATATGAAGAGAAAGGAAAAAGAAAGAAAAACGTTAAGCATTCAGCATTAACAAAATAATGTATCAGTAGATCATAGAAAGAGTGGTTAAAGCAGAATGTGTCATGAACAAAAGATTTTCAAGCTGAAACTTTTAATACATATTGACCACAAAGCTTTGAAATTAACACCTTAAAATTAATGCTCAAATGCTGGTACACTGTTTACTCAAGTCCTTACAGAAGAAGTCAGCCTCTTTCAGAATGGATCACAAGATCTAGATGGATTAACTTCAGAGATTAATTTATTTGAGCTGTCAAAGAACAGCCTTATCAATATCCTGAGGTCATTTGAATTGTTACATGCATTCGTATATTTACAAGAAGCTGAAACAGAAGCCTGTAGAATATGAAGCTAATATATGTTCTTTCCTAGACAACGCTGTTAGCTAACTCTTAACGTGATGCCATGGGGACCTCTTGAACAAAGATCAAGAGCAAATCATGACATCTTGTAAGAAATACAGCACTCTATATGGACACTGTACCACATATCAGTATTTTCTAAACTATATATCCAAGACATTAGCCAAGAGCAAAATCTTCTTTTAAAGCCTGACATCAGACTTGCACAATACCATGTACCTTCTTTCTCCATGCTATTTTAAAAAATATAGTCGTCTTTCTATCTGAATATTGTTTGATCTGTTTGAAGTCCAGCTAACCTAAACGTATCGTTACATTTCTCAAAGTTTTTGTAACACCAAACATTAAACATGCAGAATCTCAACAGTGGAGCATCCAGAATGACTATTCTGTTTCATCCATTTAAAAAAAGACCCTACTGTACTGAAAAAAAAAAAAAGCAATCTGATCTACTAGAAAGTCTCCTGTCTTTGAGTTTAAAGTTCCATGGATCTATTCACCAAACTGGTCTCCGCTTCATACAGTTCCACTGGAAAATCAGCTCCCCTGTACTGGCCAGAGAGGCCAGTTAGTTCAGAGGGTCCTCGAACAGAAATCTTTTCCTCAATAGTGTTGCCTAATAATTATAGTGCCTTGATACATCCCACTGTGAATGGATCAAACCTTTTTTTTTCCTACCATCCACTTGTCTAAGGAACTCTTTAGCGGGAAGAGCAGATTGGAAGACTTCGTAATGCAGGAAACATTTGAAAAAAGTGAAAGCAAAAGGTTCTTCAGATTTTTGTAGCATTGTGGTTTCAAGGAGGGAAGATGAGGAAGGACTGCCTGAAAGATACAGTGGCACTTAAACTCTCTCACCTATTAAGAAGCCATGTGGCAGAGCACCTATTCCTGGAGACATATCCAATTGTGCTCCAAATTTCATAACAGAAGAGAACGGATGCTCAGGTGCCTACACTACTTCTATCAACATTGCATAACCGTTTTCTTGGCCAAGGATGCTCCCTTTTTCTCCTGTACTATTCTCTGTCCACTTCACCAGCTTTCTCAGGGGTTGCAATGAATTCCATTAACTCTCCGACTGTCCTGACAATGCATAATTCTGGGTCCAAGTACTATAGCGTAGGCCCTACAGCAGAAAAAGCAGAAAGAGGACACAGAATGCAGACTGGAACTAACTGGAACTTTATTGTTATTTATGCAATAACTGCCTATGAACACTCATTTGAAGGGAAAAATGCAACAGCTTGAGTAATAAGAGCTATAGACAGGTAAATTTAAAGCTCCTATATATTTTCCTTTTTTTTTCTCCTTGCTTTCCATCAGGAGATTTAGTAGATTATTCTGTACTTACTCAAATAGAACAAAAACAAGAGGTTCATAAGAACAACTGGCCACTTTCTCCCCATCTGTGAGAGAGTGGTTTCTTCTTTAGTCCTAAACACAGAATTAACCTGACTGGAACACATCTATGGATCTAAAGAACAGCATGATTTCAAGTTCTCTGCTTACCGTTTCACAAGTACACAGTACTTCTTCATTTTCTAGATAAATATAGTACAATGTAAATATAATTTTAAGATATTTCAAGCATATCACAAGCATAACAAATGGATGCAAACATACATTTGAGTTATCATCCATTTGATGAACTATGTTCCTTCAAAAGAACATAATTCATTGCATAACAGTGAGTACGATTCTGCTACACTGAGGTAAGCAGGGTACCAATTATAATGGTTTAGAGTCAGTGCTAAATAATATTGTGCTGCAGAACAAGTAAAAGCTACTCTTTAATGAGTTCTAAAATAATCTCCTTAAAACAAAAGTGATCATTAAAATATTAGCAACAGTAATCCTACAGGTTAATATGCTCCATCCATACCCAGAAGGAGTTCTGCTGACCTGCATAAATTCAAAATTTATAAGAATTGGCAGTAGATTTTAACACAAGACTGATAATAATTTCCTGGTCAAAACTGTAGTTATTAATGCGGGGGGGGGGGGGGGGGGGGGTTGGGTGGGTGGGGTGGTGGGGGGGGGGGGGTTTTTTTTTGTTTTGTTTTCTACGTCAAGCTTAAAGAGTCACTTTCCTTTTTAAAATCTGTTTAGAGTTACAAATTGAGGTTGACACTTTTTTGGTAAGAAACAGGGGAAAAAAGACTTTCTGTTAATAAACAGGATGTCACGAAGACCTTGAGTAAAACTGCTTGGGAAAGATATGTTCAGAATTTTAATTTTAAGAGTTTAGTTAAACAACTTATTGCCATTTAAACAGCCACCCAAGCAGATAGTTCAAATTGAACACCACAGATAAGCTAATGCAGTTAAGTGTCAAGCAAAAGAAATTCTGGTGTACTTTGACTGGAAGAAGCATCTTACCTTACTGCTATTTATCAAGTTTGCAGATTTGTTAGTTTGTCATGTAAAAAGAAGACACTGCTTTGTGTTATTTACCTTTTTTCTCCTGGAACTTTAACACTGTCAGTGTTCTCATTTCCGTATTTGTTTTCCTGGCAGCACAAGTTAACAATGAGCTCACAGCAGCTAAGACTGTGCTGACATTCAGGATGTGCTTTTAAAAATGCGTATCTAATCTCACACTTTGTATTGTGTTGTGTACAGTAAGACTTGCATACAACAGCCTCCAGTTGTGCCTCAGTCTGATCTTTGACCTGAAATTCCTCCTTTATTCCTAGTCTTAAAAGGGAGGACAAGCTGGCTTCAAACTTGGCAGTAATATTCCCATTCTGAAACCTCATATGGCACAGAAGTTGTAGAGAGCTCACTTTAATAAAGCACATCGCATGATATGGGTATAACTGCCTCTGACAGAAAGAAGAAAAGGTATCAGGTAGCACTTCTCATGCAAACCCTTTCTTCAGCTGAGCTTCACAGTAAACCAGCGGCAATTACAGCTGGATACTTTGTGGTGCTAATTCAGGCAGAAAAGTGATGGTCGTTAGCCTTCCAGTCCCCAGGTATAACCCTGGTAACTGATGCAAACAGTAATAGCAGCATCACGCAGGCAAGTATTCAGAAACATTTTATAAAGTGAGACTCATAGTCCCGAATATAGAAATAAGATTCAGTGAGTTTGCAAGTTTAGACACTGGGGGAAGGGAACAGGAAGGGGGGAACTGAAAATTGAACAGGACTCCTCATAGGTTTACAGACACACTGGCCAGGCAAGGAGAAACTGGTATATTACCATGAAAAACATCAGGTTATTTTGAAAATATACAAAGACAATGTATTTGCAGTTTGGCTGTTTTAACAATATCACCTACCTTCACTCCATGTCCAATATCATCTAGAATTGTATAATCAATAGGTTTCCTGATGTAGCGAACTGGTCGCTCCAAGTTAGCTGGTGCAATGATTTTGTGAGTTCTTGAGGTGTTTTTGTTTGTAGTCAAGATACCAATTTCTCTTCTAGCAACTTTCTCTTTGTGAATGTCCACCGTCTACAAAAGACGCAGTGTATTTACTAACAGTGGTATGCATTTGAATACAGAGTAAGTATTAAAAAAAAAATAATTGAATCAGTTCCAACATTTCGGAAGACCTCTGTACGCTGTGCTAAACATATTACTACATACACTTGGTCACATTATCTATGTTCAATTTACTGTCAAACTTGCCACCTCTAAACTCACGCTAATAGCTATGGGTTCTTTGGGTTTTCCATTACTCGCATTCTTAACAGTTCAGCAAAATTCCTTCTCCTTTCCGTTCTCAGTAGTTCCCATTAATTTACGGATACTATTTTATGTGATTCCTTCAATTATCCCTTGTAATTTTACAATTGCTCTCTAAGCTTGTCTTTGAAATAGGTTCCAGCTAGTCTAAGGATACTTTCCCAAACCTTAACTTTAATGACCTCAAATATAAACCATAAGCAGATTTTCTTACACTGTAGAACAGTTTGCTAAACTAGGAGTGATACAACAGATACGATCATATGGCAGAATAAAATTTCACTCAGACAAATGGACAAGGTATTTCAATCATTACAAATCATTCATCACAAAGCAAGGATTACATTTTTTAGAAGGTGCTCAGTACTAATTAATGCACAACAATTAATGCAGTTAGAACACCAAAGGCCAACACTGAAAATCCCTCCCTCCACGTATTTCACTGAGTACTATAGGAGACTCATTAGTGCAAGACAAAGCCTTCCTTAAGATTCACTGCCTAAGAACACGTACTTGAATCTTGTTTGGTAACAAGACTAGGAAAAAAGTTACCAAAAAGTCATTCTATCCCTTTCACAAAAATAAAATTTCATAATTCATGGTGCATGGAGCTGATTGCATCATTTAAAACAAAAATTATTCCTTGCTCACAAAACAATCTTTCCTTCTAGGAAATTTGCCAGAGTTGTGAACAAACATTTTAGCTACCAGCAAAAAATGTAAGGAAACAGACAGAAGCACCATTAGGATTTCTGAACATACATAGGATTTCTTGCTTCCAGTTTAGTGATCACGAATGGCACGAGAAAGATTTTTCACTGTTAGGAGTAAGGCTGTGTCATAACTAGAGAATAGGTACAAATGAGAACTCAATTTCGTAACACATATGTTTTAAATTTCATTTTTCTGTGGCCAAGGACTGGGGCTTGGTTACACTGTTTTACCCTTTTGTTTGCGCTACTGATAGCAAAACAAGCAAAATAGACATAGTATTACCTTGTACAATCATCACAGCCTTTAAAACTACAGAAAACTGAAAAAAACAAACCCATCACTTCAAAGAAGTTGTTTCTTCACATATATTCCAGAGGATTTCCACAAATACCAGGGTCATTATATAGAAGCTTAAATTACTATCTATCAAGATTGCCTAGTATTTCCCAGCAATGTATTTTCCAGATCTTGCTAAAATTAAGCAGTGAATACCGCTTTATCAGGTACATTTCTGCCATGACCTGCCTAGAACTGTAAGGTTTCTACTAAAGTTGTGCAGCTATTTCTTGAAACAATGCTACCAAAAATAGGTTATTAAAGGTCAAAATATGTTAGCAACCTTCTCTTTTGAAAGCTTGAGTTTGCTGATTTGCAGATTTGGCTAATACATAAAGTCTGCAGAAATTGAAGATTCATAAAAGCTTAACATAAACACTATTTCTACAACTATTTAACAACTAAATCACTCTCCTACCAATTTTAACAAAGCCCTTCTGAAGTTTCCTGTGATGACCAGAACTGATATACCAGCCCTCAATATAACACTGCAGATCACATCTTCACAGCTCTTTGGATACTATTGATTGTACCAGTACCAGCGCAAAAAGAGCACATAAACATGGTCCAGGCCAGAGCACCAGAAGTACACCAGAAGTACATTCTGCATCATGGTAAGATTCAGTATTTTCTCTTTCATCACAGCTTTTTCTCTCTTCTCTCTGCCAGACCTTTGCTTTTGCAGCATAGTGGAAGGAGAGGCTCTACAAGTAACAGCCACAGCAAAGAGATCATTTACAGAATCCTCATGTCATCTGCTGAGGAGTTAGAAAGCACATACTTTTTTTGATAAGCTAATGTTATGTGATTGCAACAACTTGGAGGACAGTCTTATGTTAAATACCACTGAAGAATTCAGTCTCTACAATTATCTCAGACTTCATGTGTGATCTAGACATGTCCCTGGAGAACTGCAGAAACATTACACTAACTCTTGGATGCTCTTTGTCTCACAGGCCTCTGACACCATTTGATAGAATGTTAACTTCAGCTGCACCTCAAGTGCTGTATGATGTTTCAAATGTACCGAAACACCAAAATCTGACGGGTCTGAATCTAGTCATCCAAAACTAGTTCGTGCCTTGAACACTACATTCTCAGCCTTAATTTTGATCTAGAAATCAGATAGAAGGTAATTAGTGCAGCGTTGGCAAGATGACTTCTTCCTTTCTCTCCATTTCAAGTGCTTGACCTCTGCAACTTTAAAAATGTTCTTTTAGTATTTTCTTATGGATCTATAAACACAACGTGAGTACAGATATTTAATGCACACTACTGTATTTAATTCTTCATTTGAAAGCTTGGAAAAACTCAGCAGGTATTAATATAGTTCTAAGTGAAATACTACACTATGTCCTTAGAGATTTCAGATTATGGTAAACTGTCACGCTGCTCCCTAACCTGTCATATATTTTATCATATTATCTAAGCTTTCTTACTGTGAGTTCGTGGTTTTTTGGTCAGAGGCATTGGTTTTCTGTTGTTTAACACCACTCATCTATTCTGGAACAAGCTGGATGGGGGCACCTCAAGCACTGTTTTCTAAGTCTTATTGCTAATTATACTTTTTTTTTCATGGGAAATTGTACTTTTCTTTTCACTAAACTGATGCCATCGGAGTTAGGTAGTTCCAAAAATTGTTTTCCCTGTTTCAGTTTGCTAACTTTATTGATTATCAGTATTAAGTTGCAAGGGTGGTTTATTATTAGTATACATAGGTGCAGATGTAGGCATAACATAAGAAGCAATGCCACCGCTCCAACTCCCACAACAACCAGTAGTGATATCCCTCCACCCATACCAGCATGGGTCACTACTATGTCAACCCCTGCAACAAGCACTGCTGACACCCCTCCACTCATACTGGCAAGTGTGGCCCGTGTAATCAAAAGAAAACAAACTCAGCCTCCTCATACCAAAGCCACAGAAAAGACAGATCACCCAGAAGAGAGCTCTGATAAAGATGAGAGGCCTGGCCGACTGGTTATATCACCCTCCCCAAAGTCGCCGGGGAAGCGCTACATGCTTACAATAGTAGAAGCGAGCACCAGACTGCTGGAGATATATCCTGTGCCTCATGCCACTGCCCTTAACACCACCCTGGGCCTTGAAAGGCAAATTTTACCGTGACACAGGACCCCAGAGAGGATTGAGTCAGAAAACAGGACTCATTTCAAAACCAACTTAACAGCTAAATGGGCTAAAGAGCACAGTACAGAGTGGATATATCATATCCATTATTATGCACCAGCCTCCAGAAAGACTGACCACCATACTGGCTTGCTAAAAACCACCCTGAAAGCAACAGGTGGTGGAATGTCCACAAGCTACAACCAACAGCTGGCACATGCCACCTGGCTAGTTAATACTAGGGGATCAACCAATCGAGCTGGCCCTGCCCAGTCAGACTTTTTAGACAGAGCAGAAGCAGAAGGGCATAAAGTCCCTGTTGTATGTGAGAGGAACCTGTTGGGAAAAACTGTAGGGGTTTACTCACCCCTGGGCAAAGGCAAACCCAGCCATGGCGCTGTTTCTGCCCAAGGCCCTTGACACACCTGGTGGGCAATGCAGGAGGATGGTGATGTCCAATGTGTACCACAAGGGAATTTAACTCTGGCCAAGAAAGCTTAAATTCAAATTATATAATCTAATTTATAATGTAATGGACTGATTTTGTAAACTTTATTGTATATAGTTATGTGAGCACATGTTAAAGAGTTGGGGTGGATTGTCCTGCTTTGAGAGCCCCAGGATAAGAGTTTTCTAGGTCTGCCTGGCTCAGGGGGCAAGCACAGGGTGTGTGTGGGGTCAGCTGTGCCCGCGGGGGGGCGAGGATGGGTCAGGTGACCCAAACGGACCAATCACAGTGCTCCTTCCCATGGTGCTCAGTATAAAAGGGCCCCTGAGACAAGCCCTGGGGACTTCAGTGCTGCTGTGCTGGGAGGGGTGCCCTCAGCTCTTCATCAGCTCTGCCGGTGCTGCTGCTGTTCCTGCCCCCTGTTTTCATGCTGCAGAGGAGCAGTGTTCATCAGGACAGGTCACCTTCCCCTGCTTCACCAGGTGGGAGTGGTATGGCCACTCCAAGGCTTCCTTCTATGCTATTTTGGGCTGTCCCGGGGACTCTGGGCTCATGTGCTCCCGTCCGCTGCCAACTCCAGCCTAGGGCTTCTTTGCTTGGGACCTAGTTGCCATTCAGAAGCTGTGGGCTCCACGTTAACATACTGTTTTGTTCCTTTGACCATATTTACTTACTTGTATGTATTTGTACATAGTTCAACATCTTCATTGTTATTGTTAGTATTATTTTGTTTTTCATTATACTGATTCGGGTTTGGGGTTTTTTTTCCCAACCTCAGAGTCTGTCTCCCTGGCTCCCCTGTTACCCTGCCCCTGGGAGGGTGGGGGGGGATCACAGAGAGCACCTGTCAGTTTAGTGGCCAGCCCAGCCTTCAACTTTGCAACGGCATCTTGGCACTACAGAAACTTATTTCCATGAATGAAAACCGTGTTTTTTAATTATTCATAGGAGTTGCAAGTACAACTGGTTTCCTTAAGGACTATGGTGATCAGTGAGGCATGACTACAGTAACAAACAGTGAAATGCATACAACCTAACTAAAACCCGAAGCTCATCTAACGGGAGTTCTCTGGCATGATGACTCAGAACATTTCTTTTACCTTGAGTAGCTATGGAATGACTAAGAATATAAAAATGGCACATAATTCAGGTACATACTCCTAATATTATATTGAAAAGCATTTTACTGGCATGTTTTTTCAAAAATTTCATCCTCTTGCTTAGTAGACTACTGGTGCCATAAGATCTTAAGACACCTATAAAACAGCAGAAAGAACCATTGAGGTACTTGATAGAGAAAGGAGTAAAGAATAAACTGCTATTGAAAAAAATGAAAACATTTATCCTCAAAACACAGGTCATTTTTGCCTCCAGTATTAGCATAAGTCCCTTACATGATACAGGAGAATGTGATCAGAATGTTTATTCAGCAGTTTAGAAACTTCTGTTGAGAAGTTTTTGAGGGTTTTAGCGCTGGACTAACAGAACACCTGTCTTGGAAAGTCTGTCAGGAAAAGATGTGATATACTATGCCCTTTGATAACTTAAAATACCATTTTCTAATGAGAAATTTTATAGTCCTGTCCTGACAGTGTTACTACACATTTACACACACACACACACACACACACACACACACACATAGCTCCACTGCTTTTGGCAAAAGCTTTTAAATGACAGTTTGTTAGAGGCTGGGCTCATTACCATAATTTTCTCACATGTTTTCCAAGATGTCTGCAATAAGCCAAGGGATAGCTTAGGGGGAAAAATGTATTAACCATTGCATTTTTTTTCTACTACAAATTTTCTGGCCATTTTGAAACACCAAGTTTCCATACTGAATTTAAAAAAATGATTAAAGATTAAAATAGAAGAAATATGAAATAATTTCTGGGATTCCAAAGTTAACACTATTTAGCACTTCACTTAAAAATCACTCAACTCAGCGTTTTGAGAACTATTCTCTTCTACCTGTAAGTGGAATTTCTCCAAATACTAAGTTAATATTAAGCACTTGTGCTGATTTTGTCTGGGGTAGAGTTAATTTTCTTCACAGCAGCTAGTATGGGGTGTTTTGGATTTGTGCTGGAACAGTGTTGATAACCCAGAGATGTTTTAGTTATTCCTGAGCTGGTCTTGCAGAGTCAAGGCCTTTTCTGCTTCTTACCCTGTGCCCCATCAGCAAGTAGGCTAGGGGTGCACAAGAAGTCGGGAGGGGACACAGCCGGGACAGATGACCCCAAGTGACCCAAGGGACATCCCAGACCACATGGTGTCGTGTGCAGCAATATAGAGCTGGGGGGAGGTTGGAGGGAGGGCCACTGCTCGGGGACTAGTTGGGCACCAGCTAGCTGGTGGTAAGCAATTGTTTTCATTTGCATCACTTCCATTTCTTGGAGTTTATTTCTGTCTGTTATTTTCCTTTTCATAACAATTTATCATCCTTATTATTATCATATTTCAATTATTAAACTGTTTTCATCTCAAGACACAAGTTTTCTCACTTTTGCCCTTCTGATTCTATCCCCACAATGTGCTGGGCTGGAGAGCGAGCAGCTGTGTGCTACTTAGTTGCTGGCCAGGGTTAAACCATGGCAGCACTTTGAAAGTCTAAACTGTAATGAAATTTCAGAAATACAAGTCTTCCAGAAGCCTTGATTGCTTCCTCTTTTCTAAACACTCTAAATCTATCTGTCTGTTAGTCTGAGCTTTTAAAATCCAGTTTAAAAAAATGTCGACTCCAGAGAAGTTCAAGTCTGCGGTCTGTTCAGTCTCTATTCTCACAGCCAGTATCATGAGAGTCAGATTCGGGAACACGAGGTTGAAGCAGATTTCTCCATCGTGCAGTGCCATGGGAGATAACTCATCACTATCACTCATCTTTGTGGTAACATGCCTGTTTATATAATTAGCAGCAGAGAAGAGTTTTAAAGATGACCTTGCTAACTAAGAGTATTCTATAACTAAACCTGAAAAAATATTTATCATACAAATATTAAACCCTGAAAATCTGTCAGATTAATTTAAAGAATTTAGATGTTAGCAACATTTCCTAGTGTCTGCTAACTTCAAAACTATAACAATTTTTTGTAACAAATATAAATATTTATACAAATGATCTGTATTTAGGATTTAAATTTTCAGCCAAATATGAAACACTGTGTATCATCTAGTTCTGGACAAGGTTCAAGACAGGAATAAGAATATATTCATCAGCTTTCAGACCAGATCAGAGTAACCCTAAATTTTAAACCAGTAAGATTTAATCACTTGCACAAAAATAGTCTCAATAGTAACAATTTCCTCATTCAAGACCTATATATAATCTGAAAAACCACAAATTATGATTCGCTTCCTTTTCAGCTCTTTGATTAAGTTGGCATTTAGAAGGAAACATAGAAAGTGATGCGAATTGGTATTCTATCCATGACTTGATTACTAGAATATTTTATCTTCTAAAGTTAATCACATCTCTTCCAGTTTAAGCTACACTTAAACAAAACAAGCACATTTTCAAAGTTTTATTACTAAGAGCCAAATGACTTTGCTCCCTTCTTCGGAGAATTGGTGGAATTCCAAATCAGAATTAAAAGCAAGCTTAAACATCCAGATATAATAATTTGCATTAATGTTTTTGAAACTTAAATATCAATACCTACTGACCAAAGCATTAATGCAGTAATGAATTGTGAGCAAATGGTAATCACCAACCTGTTTTCTGTTCTATATTATCCACATAATTTCAAATCATGCTGATGGAAACCATAATTTGGCAATGAGATATACCATGAGCCATTTTAAGTGATACTAGAAACAGTCCACTAACAAACACTGAGGAAGTTTTATGGAGGTTAGGCTTGTTCCAGGAGAAATATAATCAAATTGACTGAAAATAAATCATTTATTATACAGAAACTGTGACAAAATAAATACATTTTTTAAGGAAAAATAACCACTGGAATTAAGACAGATAATATAACCGTCTACAACATTGGTATCATACGATGAAGCCATTTCTGAACATACTGAATTCAAGTTAATAAAGCTCCTTGGGTCAACACATTTGGTGTACGTAATATATAAAATTCAAATACTGTCTGCTCCGCTGATATCACTTCTTCCACGAGGATTTGGAGAACATCCTACATATAGATGATGTAGACTCAAAAAAACCAAACCAAAACAAAATCAAACTGATTTTTAAATTTTAAAGTTTTCCTTAAAAAAATAAAGTAACGTTTTTCTGGTTGTTCAAGTGCAGCCTATGACTTTTGGCAGACACATCTTCACTATGTGATGGGGACTGGTAATTTAGTGCTCCGTTTTTAAATAACTAGCCATTTTGTATAAATGCTAAAGACATTCTAACCTAGCACCTCAATCTGCATAAATCACAGCTTCTCAGAAGGAAACTGTTTAAAATGCCGCAGCCCTCTCCCCAAAAACTACTTTACAGAAGCTGTGTGACAAAATGAACTTTCCACATCTCTTTTCATTCATACACAGTCTTTTGCATCAGGCTCTCAAATCGCTAAAATACACGTCAGCTGACACTTGTCTGTCAAGACACGCGTACATACACACACAAGCACACACACAGAGGCATATATACACATACACAGTGTATATATATAGCACATATACACACACACACACACAGTAATTTGTGACATCTTTGAGGGGGTGGAAGGGGAAAGAATTGACATGTCAATGGATTAACAAGAAGCATGCAGAGGAAGAAATCAAACTTCTCAGCTTATTTTTCAGGATGCAGTTGCATGAGATACCTGAGGCAATCTAAGAGGACACTACTGACAAAATGGAAAATCCTCCCCACCTCTTCCTTTTTTATCTGCTCTGGAATTCATCTAACCCCTCACTGAGCCAATTCAGACCATTAAGCTAGCATAAAATTATTCACTTCTTTTGATGGTTCAAACCTGCACTGGTTTAGCAACCCTTTCAGCAAGTTAACAGGTCAGCTCAAATTGCTTATTTCCTACCTTACACAGCTCCTACTTTCAAATGTCTTCTTAATCACTGCAATATTCTTTAATTTAATTTATGACATTATCAGATGGAGATCAAGAAACCCTCACAGCCAAAATGTGTTGGTCAAACAAGACACCAAATATTTAGTAAGGATGCCAACCAACTCTCTGGTACTTGAAGACCAGAAAGTGCTGTATCACTGCTCTTAATTCCTCTTTTAATCCATCATTGGCATGTAAACCTCCACTAAATCTATCATCCATCCTCAACCCATTCTGGCAAACAAAATTCTCTCATCACTGTGGTGATGGGACATGCATCCCAGATAATTAGTTTATTGCTGCTCAGAAAAACTGCAAACAACGACAGGAGTTCTGCAGCAATACAGAAACTTGAAGCACTAATTTTGCCTTCTGGTCATGTCATTGTAAAGTACATTTTATTAAGAAAAGCCAGAAGCAAACTATTTTTGTCATCTAAGCTTTTGTCATTAGATGCCAGTATTACATCAAGAGGAAAAGTAAAAAGATGACAAGTATTGTTTTCCACCTTCCTTCTCATATTTCTTTCTTTTAAGTGCATGTAGCCAGTAAATACAAAGTACAATAAGCCATCAAATAGGAGTTGGAAAGCTTAACCTGTCCCTTAACACATTCTAATTTTTCCATCAGCGACTTTTCTGTGCTTTTCACTTACGCAGAATGACACCCTCTCCAAATGATAAACTGGCCAAGAATACATTTAATTTCTTATTCTGTGTGAAATGCCACGCTAACAGGTACACAATCACATAATGAGACCCATTCCCACCACTAATATGAGGAGTGCACCTTTCTGTTTTAAATGTGACTACTTTTCTCATTCACAAAATATCAGGTGAGAGTTTTACTTGCTATGTAATTTCAAGAACAAAGAGGGGGGAAAATCAGGAAAAATTCTTACTTGTGAAATATGGTTGATTGAAGATTCCATGCGTCGAAGTTGGGACGCCTGGATATCCAGCATCTGGAGAACATTGTTGGCCAAAGTGTTGATCAGATAGGCTACGCTTGCTAACGACTGTGTTGTGTAGGCTTTGGTTTCTTCCAGGGCTCGTTGCTTATCTGCTGACTAAAAGCAGAAATAAAAGGTTTATTTAGTAAAGTTTCTCACACAAAGATTCTTAGAATTAATTCCTTTTGTCTGTCTTTAAAGGACAAAGAATTATACAAGTTAGACTAATTCTACATCAAGTTACCACCTTCTCTCCTTTCCATTAATTTCACAAGTGACACTCGCTTTGTATTTTAAGGATTTCTATACTTTATAACAGGAATAAAGCTAGCATACAATATGCTCAGCTTTTCTTGAAGTACTTACAGTGCAATTTTTTATACTGCATTTTAGCAACAACCTTTAAAAGCACTCGGAGATATTTGTTCTTTAGTTCTTCTACACTTTGTACTATTTAGAACTACCTAGTTCTTCTAAACCTTAGATCTCATAACAGCCTGCAAAGATGTGCCATATACCACATTCCTCATCTCTCCCAATTATTTAAGACGTCACTTATTTAAGATCACAAAAGGTCACTCACAGTGAATGAACCATAATTACCTCCCTAAAGTGGTAGATGAATAAAATGTCAGAGGAATAGTTTTTAAAAAGAACAAGTTTGTTTTCTTTTTAAACATGTTTTGTGCTTTTTCACATCATCGGTATTATTTTCTATGAAAAATCAATATGATCCATTTTTCTAGCAAACCTAAAAATATTTAGATTATCAAGCCACAAGACATCCATGAGAAGTTTAAAAATAAACATTTTAAGCAGCATTAAAAACAATAAGCTAAGTGTCAAACTGTCACAGTTCTGTGTTTTTATTTGTATAGCAGTTAACATCACTAACATATCAGTTTAGTCAGTACAAAGAATACAGATTAAAGCACCAGTAAAACATACAATTAAGACGCTAAGAAACTTTCCAGTTTCAAAGGCTTCGGAATACACTGAATTTCACTTTTAGGTGATCTTTAGTCACTTCACAGGCTGATGGCGCTGTTTCTAAAGCAATAGTTGACAAATGTTCTCCACTCCCACCTGCCTTATAACACTATACTTCATAATTTCCTTTCCTTTATATACGTGCTTTTATTAGAGGGGTAATATGAAGTCATTCTGTATCTTCCACCACCATCCATTTCATTATATGTGCTGTGGGAAACACTGAAAGTAAGCCTATCTCTATTTCAAGAAAATAATTCTTACAGCCCAAGGTATTTCCTGAGACCTCATAGCAAGAATCCTAAAAGAAGACTGTTAGCTTTCAAGAAAAACAAAAAAACCACAAACACAAAAAACCTGTCCTGTGTCCACGAACAACAACAGTAACCTGGCTGGCCTGTTAGCATTCCTTTTTCGTGCAGGCCACACCAGTACTAGGCTGCCTAGTCTACTTCTGCAGAGCAGGACAGCAGTGGTTGCTGTTCAGCCATACGAGAGTGGTGCAGGAGGGCAGG